GGCGCCTAGCTGGGGTGAGCCGCCACGCTCAGAGGGTCACTCCTCAGAGGCCCCATGCCGAAATAAAAGGTGTCCCAGCTCAGCCCTGCCCGCCCCTCGCTGGCTGCAAAGATCAGTGGGCACAGAGCTAACCCGAGGAGGAAAGAAGATGCAAGCAAGCTCGCCTAGACAGATCTCCCTCCTCTGCTCCCAGTGCCCCAGTCCAGGCTCCTGCCATACCAGTGGTAATAATTAAATTTCTTTTCCAATTTTGCCGTCACGATTCACTACCGGGGTAGGACTGAAGACTGCAGCTGTGCTTTAAGGTACTAGGGGCTGTGTGAAATGCCAGAGCCTGGGGTCAGACGGCTTTCTGCAGTGGTAGGAAAATACCAAAAGTCTAAAGGCAAGTTTCACCCGAACACAACACTAATAACTAGAATCAGTTGACTCTGAGCAGGGAAGGCTCTGGTCCGTATGATGAGAGGAACCAGCAAAAGACTAGAAAAAAGATCAAATCCTGCCGTGTACTTGCAGACGGAAGGCTTTCCTCCAAACCATCACCTTTCAGGGGCACTGAAAAGAACAGGTTTTGCACAGTCACTTCCGCATCCCTGGAAAGTCCTGCCTTTGGTGCCTTTAAGGCTTGGTCCCACATCTGTTCCACACAGAGTCTCCCACTCTGCACCCTGGCTTCAGGCTGCCTGTGTGGTGCCTGTGCCTGCTCCACCCTGTACTCTGTGACTCCCAGGTAAGGCCTAGTCTCTGCTCCCTCCGAAGGGCTCTCCTTGGCCAGGGAAAGGAGATGACCAGGCTCTTTTGGCTGTGTTTAAACAGATGTACATTTCTAGTAAGCCTGCCCCCACAAGCTGTCATGACTTGCCATGGTCAGGAGCAATGGCTGCACGCCAGAGTTGAAGAAGGACTAGATGTCACTCCTGTACAGGGGACAGAAGTTTTACTAGCCCACTCAGGGACCAATGCAACCAGTATAGTAGAGGGGTGATGGCAACATGGGTCCTCCTGACAGCTTGCTAGGTCAGGGATAGGCAGGGAAGGTCAGGCTGTCCCTTAGCATCCCCCCCCCCTCCCCTTTGCCTGTTTGTTCCGCAATGAGGGCATTTCCTCACCCCACTCATGGTCACAAGGTAGGAAAAGGGGAAGCCAGTAAAAAGACCCCATGTGGCACCACAGCAGATGTGCAAGAGACAGAACCTAGAACTGCCTTTGCTCTCCAGGTAAACTGAAGTCTACCTCAGTGCCATACAGATACCTTCTCTCCATACTGCTGGATCCAGGCTCTGAGAAGCATTTTGGGCTTGCACATTAATCAAAACAGGCTGATCTCAGCTCATTTCTAGCTCTGTCTAAACTACCTCACTCAGCAAGCATCCAAGAGCGCCTCATGCCCCCGGCCCCACAGTGTGCCCGTCTTGCCAGCAAGCGCAGCTGTGGCTTGGCTGCCCTTCCCTGCAGCCTGCAAGGAGCCCACCTGCCTGATATGGATGTGCCTCCCAGCAGCACTAGCGATTAGCACATGCAGGAGAGGACCTGGGCAGGCAGGCTGCACCCCTCCTAATTGACTGAAGGAAGAGGAACACTTGAACTTGCTCCAAAAGGAAGCACAAGCTCCAGCTTCCCCACATTCATTTACTTGCAGAGCTTGCCCAAACCTGCAAGTAGGCGTCAGCTTGCAGACAGGCAGTTTAGAGGAAGCAGAGTTAGGCCAGCACAAGTCAGCTGGAGGTATTGACCCTTCTGGCAGTTTGGATGCAGACCTTGGGCTCAGCTTAAACATGTCTGTCTTCTCCTCTATCTAGAAGAACTGGCCCTTCCCAGCCATTATTTTTTTCAGCGTGACTCATTCCAACTACAAGTCCATTGTATCCTTCAACACTGTCTATCCGGGCCCTGCAAAACACACCAGGGAGAACTCCATCAGAGCACCTACACCCCTTCTATACAGGCAATCCCTGCGGAGAAACAGATATACTATCAAATATCCCATTTTTGGTTTTAAAGCACACAAAGAATTTATCAAAACGTTCTTTATTTTTCTAGAATGTCATACGTTCTAATAGTCCAGTTTAGCTTAGGGCAAAGCTTAAGGCCAATAGAAAGAGCAAGAATCTCTTGAGAACAACCATCTGCCCCTCAGGTGATAATGGCACTGAGTTATACTAGGTACTTCAGTGACATGCACCAGAGAGTTCTGGTGGCAAAGCACAAAAAAAAAAAAAAAAAAAAAAAAAAATCGAGAGCTAGCTTCCTAAGCAAGCAGACTGAGCAGGCTGCCCGACTGTAGCCATCGCTACAGTGTTACATGCATCAGAGCAGTGAGATTTAAGTGCTTTTTAATGAGTTATCAGAAAGAAGTAAGTGTTTGCAAAATGCATGGTGATGTGAGCACATAACTGAGAGCTCCACTTTCCAAGCCTCTCAGGAATAGAGGTTTTAGGTTAAAAGTTTCCCTGTACTCATTACACAGGGCGAAGTCTGTTCAGCAATGAATGCAAACAGTGCCACAGAACAATGACAACTGCAGGTGCAAAGGAGGAAATGCTAGAGGCGTGATAGTGCTTCAACATTTATTTTCCCCAAAGACACATAAAAAGAATTAAAACAGTTCTAAAAACCACAAACCTTTATAATACTTCACAATACATACATACTAGCTGTGCTTCCTGCTCAGACTAACCAGCAGGGAGGTCTTTTATTCAGGCCTTTATGTCAGTAGGTGCATAAAGCTGTTTCATTTACTTCAGGTACAGAACAAGTGACAGGAGAAATGTATGGTAGAGTCATTCCAGTTTGGTTCAAGGCCAGGAAGTTCTCCTGAGAGGGATGCTCTGCTGTTGACTGGAACTCATGTTCAACAGGTACTGCTCACATCGCATACAGATGTCTGCTGTCAGCCAGTCTGCCATGGTCCCTGTGTAACAGCACAGAGGCTGTGCTAGGCAATGGGGTTCCAAAATAACGGGTACACTGGAGTGGGAGAGGGAAAAAGAAAAGCAGGAAAGCTGACCTAGGTTTCTGTTAGAGGGCATGGTGCTCTTCCACCCTTCCCCCACACATGATCCAACACTGCTAAGCAATTTAGCTAAATGCGTGAGTTCAACAGAGCAGTCAGTTCCACTTAGGAAGGCTACTAAGCACCAGAACAGCTTCATTTACTGACAGCTTCTCTCTATCGACAGTATGTCAGCCAAAGGGCTAATGGATATCTGTGGTTGATCCAAGGTTATGGCTGCATCCTTACACTGTAGGATTTTTTTTGCCATCCTGAAGTATGGCAGTAATGCAGTCACTGAGACCTCCTCTGCAGCACCTGCATTATAAGACAGACCAAACCACTGCCCCACACAGTTAATTTCAGTAGTGAACACTACCCCTGATTTTTGGCAACTGAAGTACAAGCCTTTGAACCAGAAACTGCTGTGACTTTATTTTGGCTACATTGAAGAATGGTTTCGGAGAGAAAAGATACCTGTTCCCCCAGTAGAATATATAACTTATTTGGAAAGAAGAGAACAGATAATGTATTTTTCCAGTCCTAGATACTGCACTTATACCCACAAGGTCTGTCTTTTCCACCCAGAACTGCCAAAAGCTCTTTTTGAGATAGTTCCCTTTCTGGGAACAAAAAGGAAAGGGTGTCTGTATGTGTGTGGAGAGACTGAGAAACCATTTGTGGCATTACTCTTCAGTCAGTTATACCTGAGACCATTACCATATTTTATTTCTAGGTAGAAGGGGACTACTCCTGGGTTGTGGTGACAGACTGCCAGCTGTGGGGGATAGAATATAATGGGGTCTGGAAATTCTCATACAAATGAAGCTGTTGCAAGGAACCTTCTATGTCTGGGCTAATATGGACACTTCTTAATCCATGTCAGAAACCTGATAGCTAAAAAGCAAAATGGATTTCAGAGCACCTACATGTCCTCCCTTTTGGCCATCTAAAATCCACAATATTTCCAGAGAAATGTATACTAGTTAGACCAGTGCATGAACCAATCATTCAGCATAACATTCAGCTGACCAGCATAATACTACATACTGCTGTCTGCATGTTTGTAGACTTGCATATACAAGTAACTGGTAATATCTTTCAAGGTAAAAACAGAACATCCCTGTCCCAGCTTACCCAAAACAGTCCCAGTGCTCTATTTCATGCAGCAACTCTGAGCTCTTCTGTTCTTGAGTAGCTGGGTTCTCCTCTCTGGAGAGTCTCAAAAGTTTTAGGAAGTGAAGTGGGAGATGTACACACGTTCTGAAGGGCATGGACATCTAGAATCACAGCACAAGTCACCTGAGTTCTCAGGGAAACACATCCTCCTTCTTAGCAGGAAAATTTGCATGGCATGCAATTGATTTATTGGTGCACTTAGAAGATAGACATTAATGCAGTGAACTTTCTGACCCTTGTATAAATAGAGCACAGAGTAATTGCAACCACTTTACACAGGATGAAAGAAAGAGGAACCAGAGTTGTTTTAGCTGAGTTTGACAAGAGATGTCTGTGGCAACCTGGCTGCTTTTGCACCTTGTGATATTCCCTCTTCTATTTTCTTAGAGACAAGCCAGAGAGTAGATTTGAGGTATGAGTGGGATGAAGGAAAGCTTCCTATGACTAGGTGAGGTGCAGGGAAAACAGAAAATGTAAAAAACCCCGTATGTTGTTGTAAAGACTAGACTTGCCTTGATGCAGCAGTCACAGCAGACAACACTAAGAGAAAAAAGTTCCCAGCATTATCATTTGAGTAAAGCTCAGCAGATGTCAATATTCCAGCTAAGGGTGACTTTTGCAAGTAAGTCTTAATTTGTGATTGTGGCACAATCACTTGATGGCAAAGTGAGCAAGCTTAGAGCTCACCTATTCAGTTTGCCAGCCCTCCTATTTATCCCAGTTTAAATCATCTGAAATGAGTCAGCATCCATAGCTTGAAGACTTTATCTGCAAATGCCCATTATTTTTCACCCAGCACTACCACCAGACAGTTACTCAGTTCTCAGTGGTTGTTTACTTGTTGCTTGTAATCAATTCAGTGCTTCACCACTGCTTCAAATAGATTTAAGTGAGCCTTAATGAGCCTGAAGTTCCTCTTCCTCTCCCATGAACAGAAAACCTCTGACAAATAAGTGGATACAAGTAGGTCCAACTCCTTTCCCAGTCACAGGGTCTGGAGTTCACTTTTTCAGTCCTCAGCAGAAGATTCTGGTGAAGAGCCTCTCCAGAACCTGCTCAAGCCCTTGACTGAAGTTAAATCCAACCTTTAGAGCAAAATGCAGAGAGTGATCTCTCAGAGAAATCGAATCTAATACTTGCAGAGTAAATTTGGCTATTGCTACCTCAACGCTAAGAGTTAAAATTGAGATACCACTTCAGAGGCAAGTTTTCCCACATCCTCAGCAGCTGTAGACACTTCAGCCTGGCTTGTGCAGTAAGGCAAAACTGAAGGGCTCAGCAACCTGTTTCTATCCAGTACTACAACTGTTCGAATACTGAGTATTTTCAGCACTGTTCTTTCACTCTTTTCTCCCTCCTCATTCAGTCCTTTTGTACCAGCTCACCTGCTGCAGAGGTAACAGCTGTAAGGCCACTTAAGAAACATCTGCTTATGGCAGCTGAAACAGATCTGTGGAAAGGAAAGTTACTTGTGAATGCAAATGGGAAATATCTTTGTACCAACAGTATCCACTGCCTGCCAAAGAGCAAGCACATAAACCAACCTTCTAAAGGCTTTAGATCCACATACAATAACAGAGGTCCAATAAAGGATAGCAAAGACACAGGAATTAAAAGCTAAAAAGGCAAAAAAAAGTCTTACTTGTAAGGCCAGTGTTTTTATGATGCAGAGGTTCAGGGCAGCTGGCAGACAACAGGAGTTTAAAAAAAGGCTCTTGAGCAAACAATAGCTGTATTGTGCAAGAGTGTAACAGTAGCTAGTTAAGAGAGAGGGAAGAAGAGAGACATTCTTTGAGGTAGACTGCAGCAATCCCAAAGAGATTAAGTCAGGGCAAATTTGAATCCAATCCTGAAGCAAAAAATGAGTCATAAGGAAGCTGATGAGTCGCTTGAACTTTATAAAAAAGAACACATTCATACACAGCTGGCAGTCAAAAGTGATATTATCTTGAGAAATAGAGCTTGAGAAAGCTAAAAAAACTTCAGCAGCAAGAACACAAAGGAGGTATGAGAGCCATTTTAGAATAGGCAAAGAGCAGGCAAATTAAAGCAGGGTTGGTAAGTAAGGTGAGAAGAAAACAAGGATTGAGTCTCAGGAGCATCAGACAGATTGTGGAAGCAGCACAGCACTGCTAGTAGAACCCTTTGGCTCTGTCTATACTACTAAGTGAGTGAGGGCAAGAAGCTGACCCGTAAGCCAAGTAGCACGGACTTCCTCACATCTGTGTTGCAAAGGGCTTGTAGTCACGACATCTGCTCTAGAGGGGCTGGTTGCAACACCCCCTCTAAAGGAGACTCGGTGAATAAGCCAGCAGTTAAGTAGAGTGGACAGCCAACAGTCCTGTGCTGCAGGTCATTCCCTGTCCCCCTCATCTCCCCAGCCTTTGCGTCCACTCAGCAAGGTGGTTTGAGTCAGCACAACTCAGGTGTGGGAGCCTGAGTTAAGAGCTTTTGTTTCACTGTTTAGCAGTACCAAACCTCAATTAATTACTTTGTGATTTCAGAGCTGGCCAACAGTCGTGGCAGTCAGCTCTCCTAGCGTGGAAATAACAGACAAGAAGTATCAAGCAAAGGCTGGGTTACTTTCTAGGCAACTTACCCAGCTTAAGCTTGATTAGAAGCCATCACCACACAAGTGTTAAAAGATGTTTTACAGCCTAGGGCCTCGGATCAGCTGTAGAACAGGATAAGTTGAGGCAGAGAGCGCCTCAGCAGTTCAGCACTGAAGGCTATGAAGCCAACCAGCTTTTGAAAAGGCAAGGACAGCACAAAGAGAAGGAAACATACCTTTGCTCTTGGAAAGACACCATCACTACCTCCTTGGAAGAAGCCTTGCCCTTCCAGCACCATCATTGCATATCTAGTTCCAATCAGCTCAGCAATGGTTGGTGATGGCCACTTGGTAGGAAAGGGACAGTCCTATTGAAAGACAGAAGTTAAGCATCAGAGAAAGCTGAAGGAAGCAGATATTTGGAAGGACATCCTCAAAACTGGGTCCCAAAAGGCTCGGGAGCATTTGTACCCAAAACTCAGTTTTGCCAGTGATGGGGAGTATCAGCTGACTCTTTGACGATACTAGCAGAGAAACTACTACAGGGGTTTTAGTAGTTGCTATAGTTTTCAAGCAGCTTCCTGACACCTCATTAGGGAAGCAGGTCCCTCGGTCACCACAGTAGTTAATACCACCTCCAGAGCCAGTCTCTGAGAAATTCTACCCTTTGGTACAGACCACAGCACAGATGGCACCCTGGCCCCTCCTAGGTACAGGATCCCTTTCCACAGCACAACACTCTCTTGCCTTCTCTTTCCCAAGATCCACTGGCCCCACACAAACGGCAGCTATGGTCTGGTGGTCAACCAGGAGAGACAACAGTGCTTTTATCCCCAGGTGGGGAGCCCAACCCACCTGCATCCCCCACCACACTGCCGAACAGAGTGGTCACACAGAGTTATGGTCAGTTTAGAGACTTGCTAGGGGTGGGGCAGGGAGGGATGCAGAAGGAAAGAAGGGGGCGAGGGCACAGCACACCTTGTCAGGGCAGAACAGGGTGAGGCCATGATTCAGAGTGTTGCACAAAACCCAGCACTGCTCCCACAACAGTCATTCAGAGCCTGATGACTTTAGTACCGCATACATTTAAAAGTCACTGATGCTGTGCTATCTACATTTTGTCAACAACTTGTTCCCTTTACTGCAGCTTAAAGGGAGTATGTGAACCTATCAGAATCTAGAAAGAGTGAGGGGAAATAGAGAAAGCAGGACAGTCCCACTGCCAACTAAAGTCTGCTTGAAGAAGCCTTGACGGACACTTTCAAGCAATGCAGTGGTATTTTTCTTTTCTTGTATGAGGAACAACTTCATTTCATATCATTCAAACTTGGAAGCCTCCACAAGGACACTACAGCATCCAGTCTTCTCAAACTGTCTCCAAGGAGAGAATAATATCCCAACTTAAGATCAGTATAGAAATACGGCCTAAGATAAAAACCACAGAACATGCTTACTGCTTGCACAAGGATCAAGGTGCAAGCTCTGGTTGCTACCAGGTGTATCAGACCAGGCTTGCTAGCTGACATGCCGCACTTACAAGTTCCTTGCTTTGAAGGCCTCTCTCTAAAGATTTGGAACTTCCTCTGTAAGGAGGCAGCTGCTGTTGGCCAGCATTCAGGAAACCATTAGGTTTAATGTCTCCTAGTGTAGGTGCACTCATGGGAGGATATGTGCAATTTGCAGTGAGACCTGGATAGGAAGAGAGAGTTTTAGGGTGCAGAAAACCAACTGGCAGCTTCTAAGTATTCATCCCAAAAGCTGAATGCTCAAGAGCGCTACACTGCCTTCTGAAGGTAGCAAGGCTTACATCTCTCCCCCTCAACCCCCATCAGCTCAGATCACAAAAAGCAGAGGTTACAGTAATTATCCTTGTCAGTAGGCAGTGATGAGGCTTCATTAGCACCACTTAGTTTAATAAAATCAAGTGGTGCACTTTCTACTTGAACATTCAAAACACTCATTTAGCTTTTACTTTGAATTCCAGTTAGGCCTCTGGGGACTTGCTATCATTGTTTTGAAGCTGCAGGAGCTATACAAGCTTCAGTCAACTGCAGAGGAATGGTTTTCTAAGGGCGCGTCCCCAGACTCATTATTTAGTGTTGGAGCTTCTCCTGTAAAGTGTCTTCAGGTGATCAGAAAGAAAGTGTACAGCGAGCCCAACCTAAGGCTTTGGGAACCCAGCAGGCCACTGACCATACTTTGTTACCTGCTTTAGAAGTGCAGCTAGAAGTACACTGACCTGTGCTGTTGCAGGATACTACTGATGACCTGGTTGAGGCAAGCCAGGTGCTGGAAGGCAGCTTGGGAGTGGCTTCCTGTAGACCAGAAGACAGGATGTTCTTTAGCTGCATACAAGAGACACCAAGTCCACTTCCTCAGAAGTGCTGCTGCTAAACAAAACCCAGGATACCCAGGACTAACCAGAAATGTTCAAGGCTCAGCCTTGAAAAGTGGAAAAGAGAGAGAAATCAATGTGGTACATTTAGCAACTTTATATTCTCAGAGATAATAGCAAGTTAAATCCCCCCACAACCAGAAGGCTCCAGCCAAGCTAGTGAAATTTCAAATTCATCTCTCACACAAGTTCAATGCAGATACTAGTCTTAAATTTTCATCTGTTCAGGAACCAACGCCACAAAATCCTCCCTATACAACTCTCAGAATACATTGGAACCATTTTCTTTGCTCCAGCTCACATGTAGCAACACTGGAGAACAGTTCAAGAGACTGTGCCCCACTAATCCAACTCAAACCCAATGCTGTATCTCAACAGCATTGTTTCTAGCTTCTCTAGAAAAGCAGAAAACAAATCTGATTATATTAGTCTCCATATGAAGGTCCTTCTAGTTTAGCAGTAATACATCACCCACAGGGTTCTCAAATGCTGAACATTCCTACAAGTAGCACACACTTGTGCAAATATAGCTAAGATTTTCTGCTTTTATTAATTCATATCCGTTTTCCTCAGTTAAGCAACTGCATTTCAGACAGAAATGTTTACAGAAAACAGATTCCTGTTTGTATGCCAGTGCATCTGTGCTAGACATGATGTGTTAGGGCTTAAGTTCTGTTCCACAGAATTTCTGAATATGCTCAGACTGAATCCCGGAACTAAGCAGTCAAGCTTTTCATGCTCAAGCCAGGAGTTAAAGAACCCAGAGACTATGTATCATGGTTTATTGAAAAATGGTGCTCCCAAAATTGCTCCACAGGCAGAATAGTGGGAATTCACCAGTGAAGTTGCTTCCTGAAAATAAATCATGAAGTTTTCCTTCCACAAGCTCACGTACCACATGAAATGCAAATACATCAATAGATCTAGCATCAAATGCCTCACTGTGAGGTAAGAGTGGGAATAGTTCTGGCCCATATTTGCCAAACTCCTATGCATATTAAAACTTCTGCAAGATCTAGTTTTAAGAGACCAGAGCAGACTTTGGTTCTATAGGCCGCAGTCATGCCACAAAAAGAAGTGTTTAAATATGGTGTGAGCATCTGTAGAGGAAAGGGCTTCAGTGCACTTAACAGTACCACATTTGTTCACTTTTGAGAGACAAGATTGCCCACACTAGGATTTGAACCTGACGTTCCAAACTACGTGTGTAGCCTCTCCAGAGTCCTTTCATTTAAAGCCTTACCTGAACTCCTGGTCCCAGCTGCTGTGTTGTAGTGTTGACAATTTTAAACTCGGTACTGGCATCTTGGAGAGTTAAGAAACTGTCACTTGGAGATTTCAAGGCAATATTTGGTGTCACAACCATTTCTGCAGGGGAGAGGGGGAACAAAAAACCCCATACACACAGACAAGATAAGATATTGTGCTGCGACAAAAAACCGACAAATTTGCTACCCACACATCAGAATTTGAGATTTGGCTAGACTTTGTCCTGGTAGTTACATAATCTTTTCGTTTTAGGTGATAGTCAAAATCCTGTTCTCTCACTTAGTGGACAGACAAATTAGAACAATCATAAAAAAGGGGTAAGTTGAAACATCTTTTGAGTCTTAATAAGCCACAAACAGATTTTCTAGAAAGAACTATTCTTATGCACAGCACCTCTATCACACAAAATTTGCATTCCCACCTCCCTTGCATTATACATGCTATGGAAAGGATAAGCGGGCTTTCATTTCAAAGACCATCCATTATTTTTAGTCAACGCTGACTTCACTTGCATGCTTGATAGGTCACTTTGTAGCACGTACCTTTGGGGCTGCTCCCATTTTTCCTTGCTGCTGATGACAGAAGCTTCTGTGGTCGTTTTATTTCTGCCATGAGCTGTTCGTGCCAGCTGGACTCCCGTGGCACCCACTCTTTCAGCTTCCTCTCCAGCACCTGCAGGCAAAGAGTAGCACCAGAAAGAGTCAGTGGACAGAGCAAGGAGACCAGTGGTGACCGAACTACTCCTTCAGCAATGGCACAGTTTTATAAGTGCCTCCCACTCAAGAGGGCACTGGGCCCTGCACACAAAAGACACATGAGAACCTTTAGGTAATGTATACTAGAATACTTCAGCAACTCTCAAATTTGAAACTGAGAACTCCAGGAGTACTTTCAGGACCACAAAATGTTCCAAATGGAAGAAGCAGCGGAGGAAGTAGGGAGATTGCTCATCTTTTTCCTCTGAAGATGTCACCTCCCATTTTCCTAACCCCATGTTTTGGCAGGAGGGTCTGCCCAAAAGTTAAGTATGGTTAATATATCCCCCTCCCAAATCCAAACTAGTAGCTAAGACATTAGCTGTATATTCCTAGAAACTGTCCTGTGAACTCCAGAATCATCTTGTTTTGCTATCATTAGATGCAGCACCAGGTCACCTACAGGCTTTAGATGAGGCTTGGGAGCAGCTACATCAACTTCAGGGGTCCCGTGTTTTTGCTCGATGATCACCTGAAAGAGCAGAAATGCTTAAGCAATAGTTCTTTCTCTACTGGTATACCCTCCCATTCAGTGGCACAGTGAATGACTCACATCAGGATTTGGGAATGGGGGAGGTGGGGAAGGCATAACAAAACTGAGTTGAGAAGTGTAGAATGATGAGGTTTACTTATGTGGGTTTTTGGTAGAGACAGATTTGCCTGTGGCAAACTAGAGGCAATCAGAACTGCTGCACAGCCCTTTGAGGCTTGCACAAGAAGCATAGAGCCTTCTAGCCCCAGCAGCTCACAAACTGCTCTGAGAAGCCACTGAAAAACATTGTACTCAGATTTTAATGTCAGGAGTGATCCTGACAAGCACCATGGTCACATCACATTCATCGGTGAGAACTCAGCTCCAGGGAGGAGAGTAATTGAATGGGCTAACAAGACTGTAACAAGAACTGCAGCAGCAGGCAGCTGTATGCATAAGCTAAAGTCCCAGAGACTGGCTTACAGCCCTACATAAACTAGGAACAATAGCAAGATAGAATTGCAGGGCAGGTATTCATGTGAGGCAGACTGTCTCCCTCATCAACACCTGTGCTTACTGCATAGGGGAGAACTGACAAAAAAGTCAAGTTGCACATGCATGTCTTTAGCTGCCTTGTTCACTTATTCTTACTTTGAGGCTATGCCATTTACTTTCCCTGTGTGTACAACTTCAGAACACGTGGGAGTGCAGGTAGAACAACACTACAGCTTCCCACACTCGCTGTGCTTTCATTCATTTGCAAATTAGACCACTGCTTGCTAGAGAGAAGCTTTAAAATAACTTTGCAGATGGGGAAATACTCGTTTGAGAGCCTTCACAAAGACCTGAGCAGTAGCACTCTATGCTTTCTTCTAGCATTTCTGACTACTGCTTTTCAAACATGATTCTGCTTCTTGTCGACCACAGAAAAAAATTAAAAAAAAAACAAAACAAAAGAAAGAAAAAAAAAAAATCAAGACCCAGTTCATCCTGCCACCTTGAGTTACGGTTCTGTACTGCACAGTGCATTGATACATAGTACATTGCACAGAACAGAAGTCGTTATGATGTTTTGTCTCCTTTCCACTACTATTAATTTATATATCAATCAAGATATCATCTCCAGAGAAATGTCATAGCCCTATCTGAAGGCTGGAGCCACAGTCAAGACAAGCAAGAGCTGGGCTTTTATAGAGGTGCATCGTTTATCTGAGGCTTTTAAACCCCCTGCACTCTAGCAGCAATAACAAGGAGAAAAAAGCTGATGTCTAGTGTGGTATGCAAAGTTTTCACTTTTTAAAATATCTCTCTTTATTACAAGTAGAGTTGCGTCTCATCTTCTGCCAAGACGTCTGTTTGCAAAGCACACCAATGCCACAAAGCCTTATGCCAATGTTTTAGATCTGCTCATCATTCCCAGCTCAAGCTGCAGCAAGCGAACAGCATCACAAACCTTTAGAGACACCCCAGACATTTTTGTATCTGGTCGTTTTCACCAACCATACACATTGTTGGAAGCCCCTACCACTTGAGTCAGCACAGCAGCTGCCCCTGGAAGGGGCTCAGCTTTTTTTACCCCAACTAAACTCCTGCAGTAGCTTGTATACACTGCCTAGAGACCTCTGCCTGAGGCTGAGCAAAGGACTCGCTCAAAAGTGCTTTTGCACTTGCACACATTCCAGGAAGGCAAGGAAACTGGTAAGAGATGCCAGGCACAGCTCAGCTCCAGGAGCCTGGGAGGACACAAGTGTCCAAGGTGGAAAGCATAAGCAGGCAAAGGTCTGTTTCATGTAACTGTTGTGTTCAAGGCAGCATAATTGCTCCAGGGAAGGGAGTGGCTGACCCCTGGAGGGAGAAAAAGTTTACCATCCAGCTTCATGAAAGCGTGGCTACCCCGACTTAAAAAGTTACTGGAAGTGAAGCACTTGGGTGATCTAATGTTGAGCTGCAGCTGAGAGGGAGACTCAGACACTTCTGGACTTGGAAGTACCTTTGAGAAAGACAGGCTTTTGGAGGAGAGGTCTCAACAAATTCTGCTTGGAAATGAGGTAGACCAGGTGGTTTCAAAGTTGTCTGTTGACTCTAGTCACTCACCTTCCGAAGGGTGTACCTCTTGTGCTGAATATCATCCAAAAGTAATTCATAGGGAGAGCGGATACATTCTTTTGGAGGCGCGTGACGCTGTGGTCGCTCAGTGGCCTTGCACAGCCTCACACCATTCTGCAGTTCACGGATGACATTGGGCCACAGGGATGCCTTGGAAAAACCAGTGAGGGCCAAGTCAACAGCTGGCTAGAATGCACGGAGCAGCATCCCCTCCCTCCATGTAATAGGGCACACTTGGCAACTGAAGTAATTCAGAAACACAGAAGTATGTCCTTAACACCCCCTTCAACTCAATTCCAGATCAGGGCACAGTACCAGAGCAGAGAATTGCTTTTCTTTGCAGAAGTTAATTTACAACGAGGGATCTGCGAGCTGGCTCGCCAGGCTTATTTCCAAATTTTGTCATTAACTTTATGAACATACTTCAGCAAAATATATGAACATACTTCTGCTGCCAGGTAGCTAGACCCATTTTCTTGAAAACCTACTTCCTGCAAGTGCTCCAGGTGCCAGAGTTTTTTCATATTATTGGATCCTAGGAAACACTGGGAATGAAATCCCAAATCTTACCATTAAAGTCCTCTGAACTTTCAGAAACCAAGGGTTGAAAGGCCCACAGACAAAAGAGGAAGACAAGGGGAAAGGGATTTCATACTTTAACCTTCACAGCAGCATATGTTAGCAGTTTCAGCCTGGAGACACAAGCTGATAACTCTGACATCTGCTCGTCCTGTTCCTGTATTAATATCTGAGGATGCTCAGGCATGCAGTATAACCCAACAAAGGTTAAAGACAGGGAAAAAAGAAAAATCAACTCAATAGCATGTTTAGACAACATTGTAATGGAAGTGCTAAGTCAACAGCTTATCTGGATCCCAACGGCAAACTGAGTAAGAACAAGTGATTGTATTATAAACAGTGAAAGGGAAGCAAAACATTTTAGAAAACTGCCTCAGAACAAAGTTTCTGACTTAGACTCCTCTCCCTTTTCAACTTACAGTATGAAGCATCTTCTCTCAACTTATCCCTTCAGATATCTTGGTATAATATCAGAAGAGTCTTATGCAAGCTCTGACTGATGGCTGCCTTCAAGGAGACGGATTTTTTGTTGGATTGTTTTAGCCTGGCTTTGGTACAGTCATACCTCAACTCCAGAGAACTAGAACTGTCAAAGAGTGACCATACACTAGCCATATCTCCTAGGCTATACTTACTATTGTGTAAGAGAACACATAAAAGTCTCTGGGCAAACTGATCAGTATTACAGACCTTTGAAATAGCTTATCCTGAGCTGTTTGCACTTTCTAGAGTTTTATTTCTCATGGTGACAGAACTTGACTGAAAGATAAGACCTGAAGAGAGACTTCTGTACTGTAATACTGCCACATTAATTTCAGGACAAGAATTGCCTTCAGCTGGCCATTTCAGAGCAACTCGTACACCCAAAACATTTTTCAGATGTAGGTGACATCATTATCACTCATACTTCTCTTACCCTACTGACTGGATCACTACAATTATTCTACCTGGGCCATCCCATGTATTGTCAAATGCCACATAAACTTCCCACACCTGTTCAATGCAACACAAAATGCTACAACACTCCAAAGCCATTGCATTCAGTTCAACAGATGAGCGGTAGACAGCTGTGTTCCTAAGAGATCTCACTGCTTAGATTTCAAGGTGAAGATTGCCTTGTGACATGTACGGATAAGCTCTGCTGAAACTGTACAACCCTGCACGCTATCAGGCTGTGGTCTGTTTCAGAAGGCCTGTTTCATAGCAGTCAACATGAAAAAGTGCGATCCACAGAGAGCATTAGCTGTTTGGCACCACTCAAGGCATCAGCTCTAGTCTGTGGGATCCCAGTGAAGTTGGCATCCTGGTTATTTTAAACTCAAGAGTTTGTCAGAGCGATGCAATCAACTGGTGCTTAGGGACTTGGAAACTAGAGGCAGAGGATTTGCAACAGACATCCTGCTTTTGGAATTCATGTCCCCTGAAGGAGCAGAGGCCAAATACACTGGCCTTCAGGCCACACAGCAAAGCCCATGTATTTATTCATGTATTCCCTGCAGAAAAGAGCTATAGCAGTTGATGAGTTTGTGGTTTGAGATAGCTTGCCAGTTTATTTTAATAGATCACAAAATTGAGAATATGCCCAAACACACATTTCACAAACATTTTCATACGAATAGTTTGAGCACGCTTCAAAGCAAGTGCTATTTAGACAAAGGAAGCGAGTCCACAAGTCTCTCGGGGCTTGCCGTTTGTCTCCACAGACTCCAGACTACAGTGCATTTGTTTATGCTGGGCAGAGCTCCAGCCAGAAGAGCTATTTGTTTCTGATTGAGCCCTGACAGTGTAGGGCCTTGAAAAGAATAGAATAAGTTGCTTTCTCTGCCCCAAACACACAGTCCAAGATCTATGGAAGGACAGAATGGAAAGATAAGAAGGTAGGAGCTACATCTCCAGCCTCACCCTCCTTCACCCCTTTGAGCTGCTGGAGCTGTACAACCACAAAGATGGACAAAACTACTGGCCTTCAGTCTCCTCCAGCCCTGAACCAGCACAGACCCCACATAATAAGAGTGAACTAATCCACCCTAGTACTACCACCAGCTGAACATTTTTCTGGGAGTTTTCAGTCCAGCTACAAGAAAGGAACAGATTGCTTTTGGCAAGTGTCAGTTCCTGCCTAGAGCTGGAGTTTGGGGCTCATTTGCAGGAAGAAATAGCCTGAGTAAGTGCTTGTGGACACTTACTCCAAAGACTGCCTCCAACTGCATTTTCAGAAGTGGTTGAAGTTGAACCACAAAGTGCAGAATAAATGTCCACATGAGGTTAACACACAAAATAGTTTAACTTCAAGTTCCCTCCCCAGCTTGTTTTGCAGACAAGTCTTTAATTACTTAAGCTCTTGAACAACCTAAGAAGTCTTGTTTGTGTTCAAGCTCTACTTTTCATAGAAGCATCAATGGAAAGCCTCAGAGAGCCAAGGTAGACAAAAAACCCCAACCTCCCCCATAATGAAGGAATTCAATCCCTCACCCAGTGTTTTTCCTTCTTCTGAAGGGGATTTTCCACCAAATGTTCCACATCCATTTTTCTCAGACTCTGAGAAGCAAACACATGAGGTCATTACCTTGCACTGTTCAGTGATTTCCTATCTATCCAGTATAAATTACCAATGTTAATCTGAAAAGCCCAGAAGCCCCAAATACCCAAACTTTCAAAACCTACAATAAATTACTAATATGGTGCACAGACAGTAGCCTTTCACATTGTGAAAATATACCTTCAGATAGGTACTCCATTTCTAGTGCAATGGGAAGGTTACTTTAGAGCTAGGTGAGTGTGTGAAGGTAGAGGGAATAGCAGCTGAGGGGTGATCCCAAATGTACCTCTTTGGAGGTCTGGATGATGGTCACAAGCTTCTGAAGTTCCATATATTCAGTAAACAGGCTCCTACAGGTCATTTCATAATGGCTGGTAGCCTCAGAAGGCCTGGACAAGTGCTCCTCACAGGCCTGAAAGAAGTGCAGCTATTTAAGAGAGATCTTGAAATGAAAAAACATGGTAGGATGGAATAAAGCAAGATTCAGTTTTCTCAATCCATGGTTAAAAAACATCTTCCTCACAGCCCCTTTGTATCTTTTTTTTTTTTTTCTATTGCAGATGCAGAGGAACAAAGCAGCATGATGTCCAGTTTTATATGTACAATAATGTAAGTAGCTGTGTAATTTATATATCTTGTTGTCCATAAGGTGTGCTTTGAAATAAGTACCTGGAAGGGGAAGCCTCCAGTGCAGACAAAGCACAAAAAACACAGCAGGTGGAGCCACTTGCCCAGTTCTTTTCCCCTGCCCTGAGGGATGGGAAGTTTCTCATACCTTTAAATTATGGTTGAGAGGAAAGTATTTGTTTGAGACATTCAAATCTCAGCTCTTGCAGAAACTGAATACTATGGACGAGTGACTTTTTTCAATATCCATAGCCTTCTAGGTATCAAATTTGGACACTATGTACAGAAGGACTTCGTAGACACAGCTGTGTGAGAGCCATGCTCAGTCTTCCTTCTTAATTCTTTTCCATAGGCACCTGCATGCACCTAAGATGGTTTTGCCTTTTCCCTCCGATGGGAAAGCCACATGCTCCCTCTATGTCCTCCAACAAGCTACCCAGCTTTTTCCCAGAAATGGCCTTGCCCCTTGGTTAACAGCATTGTTCCAGCAATTCCTCTAAAGCTACTATATTTACTAAGTAGGAAGAAGGAAACCTTGATAACATCCTGCAGGGTGACTGCTGGTTTCATTGGCTCATCATCCAGTTTCAGCATGAGGCACAGCAGTTTCTCCAAAGGTTCACTCAGTTCTCGCTCCACTTGGCTGTCGATTCCCCAGTCCAGGGCTTCATAGATCACCACTCCCAAGTACTCCAACAGCTGCAGACAGAGACCAAGGAAGCAGTGCAGCACAAAGTGTTGTGGAGAACTTCACGGCTCTCACTTCCTAGCCATGTGTATACCCTCCACTGCCCCTCAGGGCGAAGCACATCTCTCGGGATGACAGGGGCCCAAAAGGCAGATAGATACTCATCGGGTCACCTGAGATACTCCCTAAATAAGCTGTTTTAAGATTTTTAAATGGCCTTATCTAGCACCTCTAAGTTATCTGTTATTAAGATAAAAAGACTGTGGGCTATTCCACAGCAGACAGCATCTGCGCACATTGTTTCCCAGTCCCATTGTCTTACTTGAGTTCAGTCCTAGCATTTTGTTTTACTTTCCACATTGCAGGGGACAGTGTCACTCTCACAGGGCACAGCAAATTTAAGCACTTTGGTAGTTTCCGAAGACATCTGCGTCTCCTGAGCTAGCCTTCTACTACAGCAGGATTATATCTGCACACATAATGAAGGTGAAGACACAGACTTACCTTGTCCTCTGACTGCTGAATGCTGCCAACATCTGAAAGAGAAAAAAAGAGGGGAGGAAGAGAAAGATAACTGCATAGGCATTGATAAACAGCTTTTAGAATCCCTGTCAAGAGAGAGAAACAGGAAGAATTTTTGGTAATAATGAAACAAACCCCTCTGACTAAGGTCAGTCTCACCTGGGCAAAGTAGGCCTATATTTGGGGACTCCTGGAAAGCAACACAGGATACTCTTCTTGTTGTGAGCATTAGCCCCAAACTACCTGCTGCTGGGTACTTTTTTTGTTTGCTAATAGATATCTAACCACAAGGAAAGCACTGGATCTTTGTCTTCATTCTTTATTACCTTGTCCCTGAAGAGTTAGCCTAGCATTGACCTCTGCAACAGTGCAACCACGTGGTGCATAAGACAAACTTGTTGCCACTCGCTAGCTACACATTGTGACAAAAAAGGGAAACTGTCAATCATAGATCTGGTCGTGAGAGTTACTATAACAAAGGAACCATACATTGGAATATGAACAGATCAGAACATATAACAGAGCCTCAGACTATTTATTTCAAATAACATCAGTGGCAACAAACTTTCCTCCCAGCTATTCCCTAGAACCAAAGGACTCGCTAGAGCACTATTAGAAAAATTAGTAGGTCATACACCCCTATTACCACTCATCTACAATCCTTTCAAATGAAGTACAGGTAGCAGAACAGCTTAATGACAACATATAGAGAGAGGAAAGGGGGGGAAAAAAGCAGGAGAAAAAAAAAAAAAATCCCCACTTTGTCCCCACATTTCAGCCTGTTCTAGGAACAGCCCTTGGCATCCACAGCTACCTATGCTCTTACCAGACTTGTGGTACACCTTGAAGGAAGCAGCACCATCAGCATGGATAAAGATGCTTCCAGGACCTTTTATGAATACAGAATGGAGTGGCGGGCACAGCCCCTGAGCCAACTGCTCCATTTTATAGCAACACTGAAAGCAGACAGCCCAAGCTTGCTCCTCACTTATAGGATGTTCAAAACACCTCAGAATCTCGGCTAGAGAGACCTTTGTGATCCTCTGCTCACACCGTGGAGACTCCATTTTCACCTTTATCTCTCATCTCCACTCTTAGCCTAGGAAGCTTAACACCCCCCTTTCCAGGACAGGCAAGTGCTCATAGCAGCCTTTTATCAGTTCTGCCTCCTGGTTTGCTCTCACCTCCCTTCCCTACAGGTGCAATCATTAATGCCAATTTTGCTCTATCTTTTTAAAGGGACACCACTTTAATCTGTGTTTGTATGAGACTCCTTGAAAGAAAACAGGAAGCATACAACAAAATGGAATCTAAAGAAAAGATAAGACTGTACAAAAATCACGCTCAATTTAACTCCATTGTTTCTAACAAATATATTAATTGGAATACCAATGTTGGCAGGTAAGAAAAAGAGTACATTCAGCTTCAGGCAGAGGGGGAAGGAGGCAGAAAATAATGTCTTATACTCAGGGGAGAAGAACTCACAGAAGACCACAAAAATTCAATCCATTTGATGGGAAACTATTCTGGGAGCACTATTACAGCAATCAACTCCACAGGGCACCCGCATCCACCACAGGCTCCGCTCCTGCCTGGCCTTGACCCTTTGGCCCTGCCACAGCAAATCCCAACAGCTGGGTCTGGGACCAACACATGCAGGGACCAGGCAGGTGGGTGGGCAGCAGGGCCCTTCCTTGTTTGAAATGCTGATACGAATTGCTACTGGTGTGAAGTTAGTTTACCCAGCTTTTTTTGCACTTTGGGCTCTGTGTGTGTGACGGAAGGGGATGGTTGCATGGCTCGTGACGGGGGTCATCCCCTCAAGAACTCTGTTGCTGCCGCAGTGCCTGCAGTGCATCGCAGGGAACCTCAGCTGCTGCTGCTGCGGCTCTGAATGGCCCACGCTCCCGAGGCAGACACTGAAGAACTGTGAGGTTTAAAAAGTGTGAATAACACTCGTAATTTATATTTCTTTCCCTTCTCACTTACGACATTTTGGGAATGCAGTCAGAGTCAGGCCCCGGGCCTTGGAGAGGTGTCTAGGCCAGCGTGCCCTGGCATCACTGGACCATGTGGTGGGTGCTCACGGGCAACATGCCCTGCCGCGACCGGGGAGCTCAAGGCTGGGCCATCTTTTCTGGGTTGCCCCGTGGCCTTTACCCGGCCCCAGGCATCAGCCTGGCCACGGCGCTTGGCC